AGGCTTTGGAGATGGGAAATCTCTAAAGTTGCTTACCAGGGGAATGCAAAAGTAAGTAGAGGGTGCGAAGCTGGATCAACTGAAACGTTACAAAAAAGGAGTTTATTTCCCCATTACAAGCCAAAAAAAATTCCAAAAATTGAATTGGTCCTTAGAAGTTAAAATCAACATCTATATTTTCAGGGGTGTGGAATTCCTATCGCCCGGGACATATAGTTTCGGGCGCCGGGCGAGTAGTTTTAAAGCACATTCAGCCCGGTTCCGGACAAGCAGAGCTGAATGTACATTGTGGAGCCGCCGCTCGTTTAATACAAGTGGTCTGATCAGACCACTTGTATTAATTTGAGCAGCGGCGATAGTTTCTGCCCGCCCCCACGCAGTTTTCGGGGTCACCCGCTCTCCCGGGGGACCCCGAAAACTAAGGCACAACGGCTCAGCCATAGAGCAGACGAAAAATGTCTGCTCTACGGGCTCTCTGTGTGTTCTCTGAGACCGTGGCGCTGTAATCACAGCGCCACCTGTCTCGGCTGTCAGGAACTACACAGAACAGCTGTTCTGTGTTGGAGGGCAGGTTCCATAAAGAGAACCTGTCACCTCCAAACTATCACATAAGGGATTTTAATCTCCTATGTAATAGGAAGAACATTAAGGGGAAAAAGTAAATAAATAAAAAGTTAAATTTAAAAAAATTAAATATATAAAGATTTTAAAAATGACAAAATAAAAATGAAAAAGTAAAAAATAAATAAAAATGAAACCCTGCTGCCCCCGCCATCTGCATGCAAATAAACACATGCGTAGGACATTCTGCATGCGCTTTGAGATTGCAGCTGCCATTCCATGGTGGTAACCAGAATTCTCTTACACACACATAATGTGCATTAAAGGGTAAGTTCATTTTCCCAGGTAATATGGAAAAATAAAAATTACACGATGAAATCTGGCCCTGTCTCTCCCAAACCGCCACCCCCTGCCTATACTTACCTTTCGGCGAACAATCCTCCCCTCCGCCAGTATGGGTGTACTATCTGTCCCCCGTACTGCTGTCCAGCGCAGTCCTCCCTTATGCATTTTGAATTTCGCTCGCAAATTGCAAGCACTCATTGGTCAACGTGGTCAGATGACTGCGCTGACCAGTGAGAAGCGCTATTTAGCACAGTAAAATATGTTTTGATTAGGGGTGCACCGATACTAGTATCAGTGCCGATACCGAGTATTTGGGCAAGTACTCGTACTCACCCAAGTGCTCCGATATCTTCCCTGATATTGGAACTTACGGCCAGATGAAAATTTCCTTTGACTGGCAGTGCCGTAGGGGAACATGGAGCCAGCTTCCCGTGCAATCAGGAAGCCGTGCGGCAAGTAATGACCCGCCTCCTGGTTTTCTGATCGGCCCGGGAAGCCGGCTCCTTGCTGATTGGCTGGAAAGCCGGCTTCCTGGCCAATCAGCATCGAGCCAGTTTCCCGGTCATTACTCGCCACCCGGCTTCCTGATTGACCGGGAAGCAGGTTTCCCGGCCAATCGCAATCAAGCAGGCCAAACAATATGGAGCCGGCTTCCGTGGCAATCAGGAACCTGGGTGGGATGTCATTACCCACTGCCCGGCTTTCTGATTTCCACGGAAGCCTGCTCTATGTCAGTGGAAGCACCGGTATTAGTATTCAGTGTCGGCGAGATACGAAAGCAAAAAAAAAAATAAAAATCATCGGTACTCGTACTCGATACCGAAAAACCGGTATTGGTGCATCCTTAGGTTTTGATTAAAACGATTTTTTGTATTGGGACAAGTAGATTGTCGTAAATGACAAGTAGATTTGGCCCCCACTTTAGCCCTTGGACAAGTAGTTTTTAAAAAAAATTTCCACACCCCTGATATTCCTTTATATACAAATTAACTTGGATCTACCTTAAAAAAGGTGCCCACTGCCGTCCGGAAAACCAGATTCAAAAAAGTGACCTTCATTTAGACCAGCTAATGAAGCTAAACAGGAGGTTCCAAGCAGAAAACAAGAGTTCCATTTAAATAAGTAGAGGCGACCTTACCTGCCTTTGAGAGTCATTGAAATATGCAGGCACAGTGATAACTGCGTTCTTGGCAGCATGGCTCAAATAATTTTCTAAAGATGAGGGGGGAAAAAGAACAAATTATACACACAAACACA